TCAATTCTTTTCCCCTCACCCTTGGCTCCATTTCTTTTAGGATGGACATAATATGCAGTTGTAGGCTACCTTTACATAATCATCTTAATCATATTGGGCTACACATAAAAGAAGACTCCATAAATTACTTAATAAAGAATTAGCCTACAATAAGAACACTGTGGAGATAATGTGTCTTTAAAGTCCTCATATCCTGAGACTGTCAACGTGCATTCTTCTGGGGAAATGTGGAGCATGCGCTGCTGCCAAAAACTCTCAACGACTCAACTAACCAACATCGTATTCACCGTCGTAGTACCGTTTGATACCAGTGTCAGTCAGAGTTTGTCAACCCTGAGTTTGCTTGATAACCCCGTTTTAACTCTGAGTAGGTTGAACTCCTTTCATAGTACAGGCCAAGGGTCATCAGAATAACCTGTTTTAGCTACTTAAATCCACTTAATGCATTGACTATGGATTAGTACTTCATACAGCCCAACTTCAAAAATCCCAAACTTTCCCTTTAAGGTGTGGTTGGGTTTAGGCTACTGAAAACTACATGGTTATGGTAGGGGAAAGCTTAAATTAAAGGCTGAAAGAAGCAACACAGCCTGTAGGAAATGTGACACGTCTAATTCAAACTACAGACAAAATTACACAATCAGTTAGGTTTTCTTCAAGGAAAAAGAGAAAAAAATATTTGCATTTCAATGTTGGAGGTGCTGACAACTGCAAGAGTAACATGTAAAAAAGTGTATAGGTCTATAATAAATAAGTGAATAGAAACCGCACACTTAACCTGCAAAAATATAGTAAGGATCAATGATTTTCATGAGATTGATGAGACACTGAGCAAATCGCGTTGCTCTTGTCAAAGGTCAAGACAGTGATTTTGCATTTAAACACAAAACCCGTTTGGCACTAAATCCTGTTCACACAAAAAACTATAAAGAGGTTCTGAAACTGCAGAGCATACAGCATTTACTGCTCAAAGTTTCCGTTTGCTAAGGGTCATTAGTTACAAGAATCAATGTATAGAAGTGCCTCCTGGGCCTTTGGTCTGTGGCGCTTGCTTGTTCATGTCCGACTCTCACACAGATTCCTCTTACACAATTCTACATTTCATACTTCTGCAGTAGCAAACACCACATGATACCCTTTTCTAATTTTAAAAAGACAGTTTGAGATTAGGAAAATACAAAAAAATCTATTGAGTTTGTGTGTTATTGGTGGTGACATAACACCACCGACACACACACACACACACACACACACACACACACACACACACACACACACACAAAGGAAAAAAGTGTTCTTTAAGAAGAATATGACAGGTTTTCATTTTCAACTTCCCTTCCAATGCTCTGTGCAACATCATGCTGCATTCATCTGAAAGGATGACATGTGAACAAAGTGGTTGGATAGAAAAAGTAAACTGAAGGATATTGTCAAAGTAAACCGGGGCTTAGTCTGACACCGCTACTCACTAATTTATTGTCAACAAGAAAGTAACCGTACGAAGCCAGCAGTGGATAGGAAGAAATGAAGAGGCTTCATTTAATGTTTCCACAATACACACATCGTGGCTTCCTGTAAAGATTTGCAACAACTTTCAAAAGGAAATACCCACTTTCTGGACAGTGATGTTGTTTGCAAATTATAGACAAAAGACATTAAATATCATATTAAATATGATCACTACATTTAAGTTGAATTAATTTACCCAACAGCTTCTGAAAATTTGCATGTAACCTCAAATTAAAGCTGAATGTCATCACCTTAACCTCATAGTCATTACTTAATTTTGAAATTAAAATTTTTGTAGTCTAAATGACTACAGACTAAATGAAAATGTTCCTTATGACAAATATGAAAAGACAAATATTTAAAGGTGAAGAAACCTGCCTTTGCAAATAGTCTCTTTTCAAATGCACAGACAAGCATGATGTGCTTCAGGTACTTATATGTATAAATTATGCACAACTTCAGATTGCTTTTTCCTGAGATTGATTTTTCAGGTTGAAAGAACATTGCCAGGGCAGGCCAACATAGCCAGGGATCATTCTTAATTTGGTGTGAGTGGAAAGTGACTCTGAGGAACTGGAAACAGACCTATGTTTAGTCTCCAATACTTCCCATTGGCCTGTACCATGGACAAAACCAAGAGAAAGAAGCTGAGGAGGAAGACATTGTGGTTATTTTTGGCGCATTTTTATCTTAGTATTTGTTGAAAATGTTTTTCACATGTTAATTAAAATACTATTCTGGGTTTAGCTTAAACGCAACGACAAAAATTGTTCCTTATCAAACAATTTGGGGAGGATTTACATCGAAGGCTTACATTAATCCTGCAGTTGTACAAAGAACCAGCTGTACATACAGTACACAAAAGTTTGCTTAACTTTTTCCTTTTTCATTGTGTTAGCTTGCATTTTCCTGTGGATTATCCCAGCTGTGTTGTAGCCACTTCTTGTCTAAATTTAAGTCCAGGTTTAGCCATTTACATAATATTCAAACCTCACTTTTTATTGAGAATATTTTTATTGTTATTTTCATTTTGGAAAAAATGTCAATTAATATTTCTCAACTTAGTTTTCATTGGGGAAATTAACCCTGGTGGTGTTGGAACTTGTGTCACTTTGTAAGTTATTGTATGTTTTATATTACATAGTGTAACCTCCAAAATATGCTGTTGTAGGCAAAGAAAAATTATGTTGATATGATTTATGGTACCATGTTTTGTTAAATAGAAGCAGGATGTTAGGACATGTAATAGTGTCAAGACTAACAATCACTGCAGTTTGTCTTCAAAATGCTGACAAAGAAAAGTCTGACGCAACACTTCTGAATTTGTAATGTGACCTTGCCATTCTTGGCCGGTCTTGGAAAGCAATATGAAGAATCAATTATTTTTGTATTTTTCTTTGCGAGCTGTTGTGTGAAACTGACGAGCTGTATAAGACCTGATTTTCACATTTGTCAGCCACGATTCTGCTGTTGACACAGTTATAATCAACCACCTTTTGAGAACAACTCAGTTTGCCTCTGCCTCTCTCAGTCAAGGTCAAACAAGCTCTAACTTTGCATTTCAGTGACCGTTTCCCTCTCACACTGTCTCCATACATGAATCATTTCTCTGGATACATTTGTAATAATGTAATTTGAAAGTAATATCAAACCCCCAAATATACACTGTTATTGATGACTATGTCAAATGACCTACTGGTACATGAGCATAAAGTCTGCTCACACACACATACGTGCCAGTCGATTTCACCAATTCTACCTCATTAATTCAAGCAGTCTGACTTTCTAAACATCATAAATCACTGCAGGACTAGCAGCCCAACCCCTCTCACCTTTTCTCTCCCTCCCAGTTCCTCTCAACCTTATCTTCCCTCCATCTCTTCCTCTACGTCATCTATTCCCTCTTCAATCACTCTCTCATTTTCTCTCTCTTCCCCTCGCTTCTTTGGGAGGTCCAGAAAGTTTGTAGTATGCAGTCTAAATAGTGCTCTGATGGATTGGCTGTCTTCCACAGGCCTGAAGATTAGCCCAAGGGCAAACCCACTCCTGTTTCCTAGGTGTCATGCTGAAGATGAATAACTGTTTATTAACCCAATGCAGAGTGACTCCTTCCCCACCTCATTATGGGGTAAAAAAAAAAAAAACACAGGCTGCTCAAGTTGGCCAACGTGGTACTCTCTTCCTGCTCCCCCGTCTCTGTCACTCTTCCCGTCTCTCTCTCCATTCCTCTCTTGCTTTCTCCGGCAGATAAACCAGCAGCCTGATGTAATGTGACAGTGTGCGTTTGGTTCTTGTTTGCTCCCTGACAACCCAGGAAATTGGCTTTTCATCTTACAAAAAACACTGCACTCTGTATATTAGAGGATATTCATCTTATTATGAGGGGCTGAGGGTAATTGGAAGTTTATGCATCCATTTAATGGCAATGTACTGTGGGCCAGATTTACTAAGGCTTTTGTGGCGTGTGGTATGTTTCCAGTCGCAGATGTGGCACATTCTGCCCCAGACACATGTGGTGTATTTATGAAAGCAGCGCACCAGGCCAGAGTTGAAAAGAGGTTTGTGCATTCTGTGGATTTATTATGCTTGATTTTGCTTGGAAGAGCATAAAAATGCCCCTTTGCCCCCTTAGGCTTAATTGTCCCTCTGGACCAAATTAGTAAATGCTATATATAGGGGCAGAGAATCAAGCTGACGTGCAGTTGCTACAATGTCGTAGAGAAGCTTTTACCTGCATACCACTTTTGCCTTTTCTTTTTCTACTGAGCTTCATCTACATATGTTGCTTTTTTATGTCACTGCTTGTAAACTCCCATGATTTTCCAAAGCCAGGAGCAACTCTAAAAGCAAAGCTTTTATAAAGTGTGCCAGCATCAGGAGAAAGGACAGTACAGTGGGCACGGGTTTGCCCTTCTCTACACTGTGATAAAACTATTGAAGTCTAATTCAAAAGTCTGCAATAAATCCTCCCTTCATGAAGGTTATAATGTTCAGTGTTTGATGGAACTGTTTAAGAAATGTGTTGATTCAACTTTATGGTCTGTAGAACACAATACAATTCAACAGCACCACAAACTACAGACTGTGAAATGACTGCATTAGGTTTAGCTAGGTAGACCTAATAAACAGGCAAATGAGTGTGACTTCAGCTCAGTACTGTCCCTGAGGCAAAAAAAAAAGTTAGAAATGTGATTGGATTGGGAAAACATTGTAAATTCACTTAAATGCAAATATATTTGATCTCTGAGAAAAATACATTATTGGAATGAAGTATCCTAGTGACAAGCTAACAGTGGAAGTATATCTTTCTGCACATTTGTGAATAAAATTACAAAATAAAAGAATTTGGTACTTGGTTAAAACATGACACATCATGGAAAAAGAACATTACCTGCAGTTGTATTGTAAAGGACTGAACGGAAAAATGCATCAATTGATGGTCATTGATGATACCAAAAACTATAATAGAAAAGACCGGTGGCCAATTCTGGTCGTTTAATAAACTGTGAAGTTGTGCTAGAAGCAACACTCATTTTCATTTTAATAAGACTTTTACATTGAACATTTGGCTGCATTTGTCTTAGTATTCTAGTCACACATGAGTTTAATCAACACCATCTCCACCTCTCTACCTGCAAACATTTGTGCTGCATCATTTTCTTTGTAAATCTGGCCCTGTGTATGAACTGGGTTCTCACATCGCGAGGACAATGGAAAAAATAAATTGAGTTGTCAACACACCAAAGGCAACCTGTTCTGTAATATCAATATATTATTTCATAGTGCACATGTACACAGTGAGGACTGAAAGCAAAGACACAAGGAAAAGGATCGCAAATCGATAAACCACTTTGTTTTTACTTAAGCAAGCTGAGCACAGAAGAACTGCTGAAAATGACATACAAGGTTTACTGACTTCCAGTGAGAAATTAGTGAAGTAAATGTAGAATCATATCAAGTGTCATCCTGGTAAGTTTGCAGCTGTCAAGAATACCATCATTGCCCTGCAGAAACCTTGTAACTCCAGTCGCCGTGTTAACTGGCAGCTGACATTGGACCCACATGTAAAAAAAAACAAAAACAAAAACAAAAAACTGTTTCATTGACCTGAGACTAAACCAAACCCTACAAAACCTTTTTAAAACCAATAAAACAAGCAGGTTCTATGAGTTACTGAGAGTTTGTCTAAGTGGAGATAGAAGGATATTGCAGAACAACTACAGAATGCAAGTACTGGTGTGCACTGTGAATAGTGACTCAAAGTTTCACAACACCAAATCAAAACAAGTAACTGCAGAAAGTGTGACTGGCATTTACATGGAAAAGCTACATTACCACGCGTTCTGGAGAATGTGTCTGTTGTTCTGTCTTGGTAGAAATATTGAAATATAAAAAGCAATACAGCCTTCGCTGGGAAATCAAACACAGAAACTAAATGTGCTTCTTATCTTAACATTGACTCTCCATATAAGGCATGAGTTTGTTTAGTTATAAACATTTTTTTGGTCTTTGCACTCGGTTATCTAAAAAGCAATGTGCACTTGTCCACACCTGGGGTTAGATGGAGCGTTATTTACAGCGCTATATCCGCAGAACTTTTTCTTACCACATCAGAAGGTTTCTTGATTTTCAGCTCAAAAAATAACTCAACATTTACGATTTTTCGCCATTCAGTTTGCCAATGTGTTCACCTTCATTTGGTATAGACACACCACCAAGGACAGAACATCACTAACAGGCTTCTCACTCGGGTGTTAAGCATTGATACTTACAAGTTTCCAAATGCCAGATAAAATGGAAGGCAGGGATTAAAAAGAAATATTCAAAGACAGTAACAGGGTTCAGGATTATCAAATTTTAAACTGTTAAGCATAACATAACAACTCATTCACCACATATATAATATAATCCCATTTTCCCTTCCCACAAGATTGTTCTGTAGCCAAAGAAAATAGGGTTAGAAAAGGCGAAATCCTCTTCAATTAACTCATTTTTGAAGACCCCTTAAGAGTTCCTCTTTACATATCAAAATCGGCTTTATCCTTGCAAGGCAGATGCCTTAGGTAACTTAATGACATCGGCTCTCTAAGGTTCCAAATCACAAAAGCTGTCAGTGTAATATAGTTTCTTAGTTTCATCCAGTTGTACAGTTTGCTGAAAGCAGGGCAGTAATAGCAAAAGTAAGCCTCCAGGCTAGTACAGTAGAGCCTCTGAAAGAGCATCCAAGTGTCAGCTGGTCTCCCAAACGTTCACACGACTCTACTGTTGATCAAAGGGCTTTGATAACAATTTCTGATAAAAATGTGACACCAGAAAATCAACCAAGAGTGACCATAAGAAAAGCCCGGCAGTTAGCCTTTAGAATTGGATGTTCTGTTAATACAGTTCGGGTCCAATGAGGCCAATTTAGTAGGACCTCCCCTGCTCATGCTAGGTTTGTCTCTGAAGCAGCAACTCCACCTTCTATGTGTAGTATCACTCCTGAACTTGACTTGTGTGCTAAGCTAGCTAGCTGCACAGCTGGGCCAGCTCGGGTTCAGGAGAAGCATTGGGAAGCTTGGAGTTGAAGATCTGTAGCGAGTCCTTGATGCGTGCCACCTCTCCAGCCGACAGCTTGAGCCGGTGACGCAAGAGACAAGAAAATAGGTCTAGTGGCTGCGGTGCAGGTGGAGACAGACGGTTAATCCGGTCTCTCATCTCCAACAACATCAGAAAGGCAGCATCCTGCGTACCTTGCGTGTAGGGGTAGTCCAGCTGGAGTATCAGATCTTTGATGCCCTCAGGGTCAAAGTGCATGCTGTATCCAAACACTTTCAGCGTGTTGATCTTCATGTACCCCAGGTTGGACGTCTGGTCATCCAAGTCCAATGGTTCATAGAAGAGAGTTTCATTCACTGTTGGATCATCGGTGACTATGCGGCTTCGTAGGTAGATGTGTACGGTTTCAAAGAAGGATTTCCATTTGCCACCCAGAGACAGTGTCCAGTTGTAACACTGCGCCGTGACGACGGCGTCCAGTCGAGTTCTCTCCCAGTCAGGGAAGTCAGGCTGGGTCACTGGCATGAACCAGCTCTCTGAGTGACTTCCCCCAAAAGGATTCACATAAATTGCAGGCACAGGCTCCAATGTTGAATTTTTAGTTAAGCATATCTGGAAAGAAATGCCCATCAACATGTGTATGAGATTGGACTTATTTTTGTTACTCTTGAGTGTCAGCAACATTCTCTTCCTCCATGCAGGATTGAACCAACTTCCCAGACGGACGTCATTACTGATGTAGATGGCGTGGACCTCTATTCTGCTGTCCAGTCGCTGAAGCAGGTACTTCACCTGAAGAGGGATTAAAAAACTGTGAGATCACATTCACTCTTTTCATACAGGTAGATATATAATAGTAGACATATCCCTTACACACAGGTTCTCAAACTACATATATACACAGTGCCCTCCAGAAGTTTTGGCACCCTTAGTGAGTATGAGCAAAAGAGGCTGTGAAAAACATTCTTTGCTGTTCTGTTGTCAATTAAATACATATTTTCACCAAAATGTGTGCCACAATGTATCAACGTCATATTTCACATTTTTAAGTTCACCTGTTTGATTAGGAACATTCAAGTTAATCCTAATTTCCTATTTTACTGGGGTATAAATATGAGGTGACGTAGACCAGTTTCCCTTAGTCATTCATCACCATGGAGGAAGGTAGTTCGATTGGCAAAAAATTCTCCAAGGATCACAGCTGAAGAATTGCAGAGGTTAGTTAAGTCTTGTTGTCAGAAAGTCTTTAAAACTTCCATCAGACGCCACCTTTCAGAAAAAAGGTTCTGCTGTCAATCAATGGCAAACTCAAGTGCTAACAGTTTGCCACCATTATAGGGAATTTCAGTGGGAGAAGGTTAGATGTTATAATGAGACCAGAATTAAGCTTTTTGGCAACAAACATCAAATTTTGGCTTAGACAGAAAGATAGCCATGTGGAAAAGCACCTCATATATAATCACACCTCAAAATCTATACCCCATGGCTCACTGACTGCAGAATAAAGGTTTTGCCATGGCCATCACAGTCCCACAACCTAAACTCCATGGAACATATGTGGGATAAGATGAAGAGGAGAGTCCACAAATGTAAACCACTGATTCTGAAGAATCAGGAGAGAGTCTTTATGGAGGAATGGTCTCAGATCCTGTGCCATGTGTTATCTTGGCAAAGGGAGTAGAGGCTGACATTTTTTCAGGAAACCTGTGGGTCATGGGATTCCTGTAGGATTCCAGTGGGATGGGAGTCAATTTTGCTAATCATCACGGGATGGGACAGGAAAAAAAGTCAATGGGAACGGGAGGGACGGGAATCATAGTTTTTTACTTGTATATATGAAATGTATATACATATATATATATATATATATATATATATATAAACACATGGGATTGGGATGGGCAGGATTAAATTTGTGGGAGCAGGATGGGACAGGAGTGACTCCTGGGGAGGCTGCACAAAATATAAAAGGTTAGATTTTTTTTCATATTTTGAATGAAAGATCTTGAGGATAAACAAGACATTTTTACTTAGGAGTTCCAATAATTCTGGAGGGAACTGTTTATCTACAAGCTAGAGCTTTACAGTTTTTTTTCATAGGCTGAGCAGTACTCCTCGTGAAGAGTAAACTGACCTTTCTGCGTAAACTTGATGGAGTGGCCTATAAATGTAAAACATTTATAAAAAATACTTAAAACATGACATCAAGTATTTAAAGCAAAATATAAACAGCATGAAACCTGTATTTACATTTTTTCCAGCCCAGCACAAAAGGGAACTGATGATAAAAATGCATAAAGATTCAGATTAATAAGAATGAAGAAGGGAGTCCTTTAAATATCCATATAAACGTGCTACTACCTCCCTTCTTAAGAAGCTTCTCTTCTTACATTGAAACCCACTGCTACAATTATTATTAATCCTATTTCTTTTATTGATATTTGTATTATTACTGCTACCATTGCTATTATTTTGTATCTCTATGTGGAACGTGTTATCTGGAATACGTATTTCTTTGAAAACTTTGAATCTCAAGAAGCTTTGAGAACCTCAGCATCAGGCATGTCCAAGTCCAAGTTTAGATAGTGGTCCAGGGACGCAGCGATGCTCGGCCGGCAGGAACCAAGATGGAGGAGGTTGCCATGGTGACAGGCTCCACAGCGGGTTGCGTTGTCAGTGGCACAGGAGGAGCAGGAGGTGGAGGAGGTTCCTACAATGCAGGGAATGACTCCGTGACACGTGGCCTGCTCCACAGGGCATATGCAGCTCTTCACTTCCTCAAAGAAGGAGCCCAGCACTCCGTGCTCATTGCAGTAGAGCAGAGACTGGGCCTTGCTTAACCAAAACCCAACGGTCCTGCAGAGAGAAACAAGAGAAAACACAGTATTGCAGTTGTGTATAAAGTACTGCATATTCCAACACAAAACACAAAACTGTTTAACAAGTAATTTGACACCAGGTTGAAAAGCAGTGTGCCACTGCGCTTTTTTGGTGGGAAGTCCCAAGTCTGTTTCGCCTCTGGGTGGGTGTGGTCAGAAATTTACCCTACTGCACCTGTAACCACACCCAACAGTGATGTCACTGGGTCTTGGAGTACACCTGTACATTACTGAATCAATGTCAGAAGTAATTTATAACAAAATAGTTTATGTTTATGTTGGCTGGATCACATGAATGTTTTCAAATTTACTGACAGTTAATAATATACAGTTAATTTACTTTCCTATAAACGGTATAGAATTTTCATCTGTGTCACTAAATTACCCCCTTCGCTTGTCTCTTCCACAGCACATAACTAAGCTCAGCCTGAAGCAAGCACCTATATGTAGCTCTGTTGCTGCTGTTGTAGAATGATTCAGGAACTTCTTTTTAGTTTCTTAAATGCTGAAATATATGGATGATTTAAAATCCCTAAGACAAAACACATTTAATACACATTTTTATATCTATTACTTGTATCTATGTATATACTGTGTCATAATTAAATAAAAAAAATTGTTACAATTATTTAGTGACTGAATGAAACTGTAGATTATGTCGATGTGACATATAATTTACATTTACTCATTTAGCTGACGCTTTAATCCAAAGTTACTAACAATTGGTATATATGTCAGAGAACATATGCCTCTGGAGCAACTAGGGGTTAAGTGTCTTGCTCAGGGACAAATTGGTGGATGTGTTGCAGTGGCAATCGAACCCGGGTATTTCATACCAAAGGCATGACACCCAAAAATAATCTACAAAGCATTTCTGATCTGCCCCATTGTTGCATGCTGCCCAACTGGCTGATTTAAGATAAGGCTTAGTGATGATGAAACCTTTTTCATTAAATGAAATTATTTAGAGAATATCGACACCTGTCCTGTACATGATGGGTCACCGGTAAAAAAAAACTGTCAGAGCAGGCCTATTTGATTTTCATAATAACTCACAGTGAGGATCAAACCTCTGTTATCATTTTGACACAGAGGAGGCAAAGTATTTTGAAGGTCTAAGATGGAGCTTTACGATCTCTTCCTAAAGGTAAAGTTTACCGGTGTGTTTTTATCTGTTTTCATCTCAATCACACACACTGTTTTCAATGTATTTTGCGTGTACCGGCTTGATCACCGGTAGATAGCATGCAGGGTTAAAATAATGAGTGGCGACGTCACCGCATGTCCCTTAGTTCTCAAGAGTGGAGTGTATAACCATCAAGGTTTTCGTTTCATCTGTTCACCTCAACACGGACCAGAAGAAACCAAAACCGGGGACATTTTGGTTTGGTTGTCATCATGTTATTAAAGTATTTAATTATAAATAAATAATTATCTATGAAATAAAACAGATTCCCATTGCTTGCCTCATTTTTGTATTTATATCTCAAAACATTGTAATAATATCTTTACTTTTCCTCATCTATCTCCTTCACTCTTGTATCTATCCAGTCTTCCTCCTCTATTTCCTTTCCAATCTACCTGGTTTAAAAATATGTCAATATGCCGCCAAAAAAAAGCACAACGTGATTGTGACGTCAGGCAGTAGTCTCTGCTGCCTGGTCTTTCTGGCCACGTAAAATATGATTTCACTTTGTGCTCTGTTTTTAATGCGAAGTAAAAAAAATGGGGACATTTCCAGGTACTGGCCCCTAATGGCAACATCTGATGCCATGTGTAACATTTACATTTTGGCTTATTGCTTGGATGAACTTGAGTAATGAGTGTGAGAACGCTTGTCATGTAATTTGGGTAAAAGATACTGTAGATACTGCCTCTGATCAATTTGTCTGACAGTGAAAGTGATTTCATGTGTATTTCACATATGTGTATGCCCTAACATTATTTCACAAGTGATAACTGTTACTCTCAAAATGCATTAAAATGCAAATATTTATACTATACTCTTCAGATTGTCTCAGGGGGCATGCCCCTGAATCCTCTTTGTGGGGCTAGGACTCATGACCTGTTTTTCTAAAATCCTGGCTACAGCACTTGATAAGAGCCTTAAACGAGGATGTCCTAGATTACACTTCGCTTTTCCCATTTTCCATTGGTGAAAATATAATTCACAATCTGCTCCTAATTATTTATAAAAGGGACTATTTATCTATGGCAATTTGACTCCTTTTTTATAGAGGGTGGGTATTTGGTATTGCAGTGGAGATGAAAAGGCAGACATACATAAATTACCATCCACTTTGGTGCAGTAACAGTAGCAACAAGTTCAGACTGAAAATTGGCTCTGGAGATCCCCAGGCTACATTCTGGAAATCACACACAACATTGCCCAAATGCTCCAGCAATTCCTTTCCCCTCAGGCCTATGTAAATAGACAAAAAATGAATGATGATAAAAACAAATGGATTTGTGCAGAAGAAAATAGAGAGCTTTGCAGCTGAGCAGCCCCTGATAACTTGTTGTTGCTGGTATGAACTGGGTTAAGACTGACAGGGGTGAGACAGTCAGACAGATAGAGAGAGAGAGAGAGAGAGCAAGGAAACATGAAGGTGACTGAGGGAGGGAAATAGAGACAGAAAGCAAAGCAGAGTGCGAAAGTAGGAGACGGAGTGATGGGTGAAGGGAAAGGACTGCCAGGGAAATTAAAGTCCTCTGTAAACAAGTGCCGAGCTGTCAGACTGGGAGAGGACTTGATTACAGCACGCTACACTACCACATTCCTTACCCCACAAAGGCCCCCACCACTGGTAACTAGACCCTTCATCTGTCTCACAGTTTTGCTTTCTTCCCCTTTTAGTCTCTGTCCGTTCGTCACATCTCTCTTCCGTCTCCCACATTCTCTTACTATCTTTCTTTCCTGTGTCTCTTTATTACTCCTGTGTTTTCTCTCTCTGCTGACAGCTGAGTGAAGCTTATAAGCGTATTTTGACTCAGAAGTCAACCACAGGTGTAGAATTCACTCAGGCAAAGGGAGTTAGTTTGCCTGTCAAATTTTTAGTATATGGTGGTTTCAGCAACAAGGGTGCTCTTTTTTTTTTGTCTGTTAAGCTGCAGTGGCAGTGAGATCTCATCAGTAGGTATGTTACCCATAGGAATTACATCCATATTGGACAGTAAAAAGACAAATTACGTAGAAGCCCTCTATCAGCAGGATGACATAATTTGCACTCACACATTTATACACACACAAAGGCATACAGGTAAGTTTATCCATCAAATTCTACAATATGATTCGCAATTCGCAATCGTTCAAGCTTTCTTCTGCGCTGCACAATATCAGTGCAACAATTCAGTATCTACAGATTTTGCTTGTATAAAATGTTGATGGTTCCTTTTGCATGCAGTTGTTGCATACACATTACAGTATGGCCACTCCATCTGAGAGTGTTGTGGGTCTATGATCTATTCAGATACATGCAAGGTACAGCTATCTACACAGTGTTATTACTACTCATATTGCCCAACAAGTTTACACAGTAAGACATATTTACGACTGTAACATCTGTTGACAGCAGAAACAGCCCAAAGCTGAAACAGCTGAACTCACAATGCCAGCAATCTACAAATACATTTTTGGATGGGAAACTGTTTAAAGGGAGCAATTAGTACCCCACTGGCATGCTTCCCACCTTCCTGTGTGTATGACGTTTGGGGTTTTGCTAAATTCAAAACTGAGCTCTTTCCAGGCAGATAGCTCTGGGTTTTCCTGGTGTGCCCTGCTTGAGGCGGGCTGTTAGAGAACCTACAGCTGTAATGAATCAGCACAAAGCAGCAACCAAACCTCCCAGTAATTAAAAATTATGCCTTCCTCATTTAGTTTGTTTTCTGTCAGTGTATGCCAGTGGGCTACCTCTCTCGGGGCAAACTGATGCGAGGTTGTTTGGGGCAGCGTTTGCTCAAGGTGAACAGTTTCCTGACGATCTTCTGGGCTTTGCCCAGGACCAGGGCTGTGCTGGACTCCAGCTGGGCGTAGCGCTTCTGGAGGGGCAAGTCAGCCGACCAGAACTTGGCGATCATGGACACATTCAAGAACCGGTCAGTGGGCAAGCGTTTCAGGAAGGCTTTGAATTCATCTGTAGGGAGTTCAACAGAGAGAGGGCAGAAGTGGAGAAAGGGAAGGTGGAAGAAAAGAAAAGAGAACAAAATTAGACGCACTCAAGTCATTTATACGACTTGCTTTTTGAGCAGTAGATATCTGTTCACCACAGTCTATTTTGTCCCTTGTGGCACGCATAGATAATGACTGAGGAGCTGGGGGAATTTCATGTGTCATTAGAATACAAAAAAGCTGTTATGTTCTAATGAATTGCCATTACAGAGTAAACACCTGTGCTTCAATCTGCAGTTATACTCATTCACTTCACCATTAGAAGCTCGTCGGATTCACAGTAGCATCATTTGCAACATTGTCATTTAGAAACACTAGTTATCTGAGGATTGACAGTATGGTGCCACGTACAGATGAGCATCTCCATTTATGTTGTAATTTTGTCTTTAAAGGCCAAACAAATTAAGAGAAAATCCATAATCACAAGCTAAAAGGACCAATAAAAGCATGCGGTAAATGGAGAGAGCTTCTCTTTTTTCTCTGTGGTGCTCCCCTCTAAAATGCAATTGCTCAAACAACAATTCACAGCAAATTTGTGTCAAAAACAAACAATGGAAAAAGCAGTTTAAATAGATTTTATTTCAGCTGTTCAGCTGAAAACTCACCTCTCTCTGTCACCTCCAACAACATTTCAGTCAAAACCATTATATCATCTGAATCAATATTATTTGTCATGGCAGTAGCTAAGCACTGACATAAATCTACAATTCAACAGAATGCTGAAGGAAACCTGTTGTTGAAACATAGGTTTTGAAATTGTAGAGGTTATAGGTCTTGGACGAGTGCTCCTTAACACTAAACATTTTCTGAAGGTGTTTCTTCCCATGTGTTGTGCCCATGTGATAATAGCACATTGAATTTCTTTTCATTTCCTAAGATCTTCTCAAGTTTTGATCCTTAAAGATATCATACTTAAGTAACCCGACTGAGAGCGGGTGCAGGATACAGCAAATATGTCTGCTGCAGCCAGACAAGAATACTCAGTATTGTAAAGTACAGTTATTGCTGGATCACAAGTGTTACTATATGCTGCCTTCTCTTGAGATGGGAACTGCTGCTGACACCACTTGTGAGCCAAATGTTTTCAGCAATGGAAGTTTTATAGACACTTTTATTGCCATTTTTAGTATTTATGACCATAGTTATAATTATATGTGATGCACCTACCATCACCCTAGCATGAAAGTGATTGGTAAATAATTATTGAGTAGGTATCACTAGTTCACACGTGAAAACATACATTACTGTCCCTTTTTTAATAAAATGCTGTAGTCTACTAGGTTGAATGTCACTTTCTGCTAGTTAAGTTGTGGCGTAAGTAAAGATGGTGCAACTAAAAAAAGTATAGTGTCAAACTAAGTTAGTGTTGACTTTACAACATCATTTACAATCAAACTTTATTTCAGCTGGTGCAACAGGCTGCTGGTGAGCTACAGTGTATTGTATTGGATGTAACCCCTGGAATGCTTTTTTTCCGTTACATACATAAAACATAGTGTAAAATAAACACACGTAGAGAAAGTTACATTACTGACCATGAATGTGTAAAGGTTGGTAACATTAGCTAACATTAGTCACCTTGGTCATACCACACTAAGTTAGCTACTCTAGCAACTACTAACTGTGTTGGATTTAGTGAGGGTGTGTTTTATTGCTCATGAATTCAACTCATCATTTGTCATCTTTTAAAGCGGCCTCATGCTGTCCTCGATAAAGCAATAGCAAAGCTCTTCCGGATGGGCAACTGTGGCTCAGGAAGTAGAGCAGGTTGCCTATTAATTGAAAGGTTGGTGGTTCAATCCCCAGCTCCAGGCTGCATGTTAAAGTGTCCTTGGGCAAGATACTGAACCCTGAATTGCCCCTGGTTGCTGTTCCACCAGTGTGTGTGAGTTTCTGTTTGAGCACTTAGCTCAGTGAATGAATGTGTGCGAATGGCACATGTAGTGTAAAAGTGGTCAAAAAAATAGAAAAGCGCTATACGGAGCATTTACATTTAGTCAAAACATCTTTGTTGTACCAGACCTGTAGACAACTTCTACCCCAGCCAAAATGCAAAATGAAGAGAGAAATTTAAATGGTGCTATCAAATCAAATGGTTATCATTTCACAAGTCTGTGTCTATGTGTGTGTGTGTGTGTGTGTAGAATCTCCACCAATAAAAAGACTGGGCACTGTTGGAATAAATTACACTGAGAATAATGTCGGCACAGAGGACACATCTCATACCCTGTGTTGGGTTTGCCAAGAGCGTTCCGGTACTACGATCATTGTAGTTTCATTATGAACCAGTGGGCAAATATTACGCCAGTATAAAGCCTCTGGGAGACTTGAACCTATTCTTTCTTTTTCTCCCAAAGCCAGCTAAGTGAGAGCTTCTAGGATTGTTCTGGGTCTGCTGGAGAATTATATTCCCATGTGCTGTTGTTGGCAGGGAGACAGCGAGGAAATCTGCAGCCAAGCCAACCTGAGCTGAGCCCAACTGATGAGACTCAAGCCTATTACAGTGCTCAGTGATCCCAGATGACACAATGGTCTGTCTCTCTCCATCCTTCTCTTTGTGTATATCTGCATCTTTCCCTTGGTCTGCCTAGCGAGTCGTGGGCGGTTCTCTCTCTTGAGTTTTTTCTCTCTGCATGTACCTATCTGTCTGTTCCTGCATCTCTTGTCACTACTAGCTCTCTCATCTCTTTCTGTAGCCTCTCTTTCTCTTTCTCTCTGCACTGGCAAATTAGCAGGGCAGCATTGACTTATTACTCTGTTTGCTGGGTACATTCCTCAGCTGGTCTGTTTTGAGTGCTTGTTTCATGTCACCTCTACTGATCTTCACAAAACACTGAAGGCTACACTGAGCTGAATGTGCAGAGTTCATTCTTTGATAGGCAAAAAAGACTGAGTGCACAGGATACAAAAGGTCAAACTTTCTAATGCATGCCATGGACATGTTTCTAAATGCACTATTGGTCTTTTTAGCTGTTCATAGTGGCAAATTATGATTTAAATGAAGAATCATGCAAAGGTAAGGTAACTATACAGTATCGTGATATGGTAAAACACTAGAAAAATGCAAAATAAGGAGCTAGGAAAGTTAATGGTATTGGAAATAACAACAACAACAATAATAATAATAATAATAATAATAATAATAATAATAATATAATAATAATGGAATCCATCCATCCATTGTCAACCGCTCATCCTGCGTACAGGGTCGCGGGGGTCTGGAGCCAATCCCAGCTGACATTGGGCGAAAGGCGGAGTACACCCTGGACAGGTCGCCAGGGTATAATTCATAATGTTTCTTATTTCTGGAAAAACTTGTCACACCCATGGCATTTGATATGGCATGTGTTAATGAATGAAAGTAGATTCAACATAATTGTATAATGTACTGTACTATAGTAGTTGACAAGTAAACACACATAATAATTTAATCTGTTTTTTTAAATTTTTGGAATTTTAGTACAGTTATATATTTTATATTTACAGTTGTGGTATTTATTAATTTTATTTCATTTAGTTAGTGAAAACATGAAACGTGCGAGGACCCTATTGAAATTGTAAGGATTATTTTTTCTTCTTTCTTTCTTTCTTTCTCCCAAATGTCCCCAAAAATCACCAAACTTTGCACACACGTCAGGCTTGGCGAAAAAATTACGTATATTAAGGGTCTCGCACATGGGTGTGGCAAAATGGCTCCATGGCGCCACCGGAAAAAATTAGCCCCCACGCCTACTTCAACCTACACGCACAAAATTTTCTGAGGACATGTATCATATCACGTCACACAAAAAAGCCTCAAGAACCCATACCCTAAAGTCAACAGGAAGCCATTTTTAATTGAAAGTTTCAATTTTAACCCATTTTTCACCGTTTACAGGGTGTGTAGGGGTAAACCGAGGCTAAAGTAACGCGGGACGAAAGTAACCTTCCTCATTTAACAACCCTTGATGAAGCTGCCAAATATTGCATGATTTTGTCATCGTTTCCCGCAGCCGTCTTTGGAAAACTGTTTTCGAGCATGGCAAGTAAATTTTTGAAGCGGGACTGTTCGAATTACAAGTTGTGTCTCTTGTTTCATATGTCACAGTAAAGATTAATCTACAGGTTATTTAGAGCTTTAACACACTCTGAAGTTTGCCCTGTCAGAGTTTTTTAGTATAAAAATAAATCGTGTTTATATGTCAGGACGAAAGTAACACTTGTTACTTTTGTCCCGCTACACCTGACCACAAGTGTTTCTTTTGTCCCGCTGCTAATGTGGTGACTTTTCTGTGTGTTGCAGCATTTATTAAAACATGTTTATGTCATATTATACCAACAGAATATGCCAATAGCGTGGGTCTGATTCAGCCAGATGTTTGAGAAGGCATTTCTGGACATCTCTATTAGAAACATTAGTCTCAGGTCAGCTGATAAAGGCTCATGGCATCTGCCATGCGACAGAAAATGCAGGAGGAGGGCAGAGATAATTGGGGAGAAGACTAGACCACAGGTACAGATCACATTATTAAGTCTTCTCCTTGGACTAGGAAAGGAAGCTGCATGCTTAGGCTATAATAAGAGTGCGGCTGATATTTATTTTGGCCTGTCTCCTAAGGAGGTCAATGTAGTAGGTGTCAGTAAACTCAAAATGCAGATCACTCATACTGTTCTTACTAAAACAATTTTAAATTCATTTCAAAATGTGAAATTTGTAAAGGCCTATTCTGACATAGCTTCATTTTATTGTTTATTTTCTTATTCCCAGATCAGTCTTATTTTATTTTAATCATGTCAGGTTACTTGTGAAACTGAATATTTAAAATACTGTCACCTCACAGCAAGAAGGTCGTGGGTTCAAACCCCGGTTGCCCCGGCCTTTCTGTGTGGAGTTTGCATGTTCTCCCCGTGTCCGCGTGGGTTCTCTTCGTGCTGTGACTGCGACTAGCAGAAGTTGTTTATGATGATTACAGAGGCTGTAATTAT